TGTTCGAAAGAGGAGTGTTGTAACAAGAACTAATAACTGTGACGATGATTCAACACATACCACACACACACACACACACACACACACACACACACACACACACACACACATATACACGGACACACACACAGACAGAGTCAGACATGTAAATAAATAAATTTTACTTTGTTGTTATAGCGTTCATTTTCAGAGTGCAAATTTTTAAATAAGGACTTAATTTCTTTTTTTAAATTTTAATTATGTCTTTGTGTTTGTGTATGCGTGTGTATGTGTGTATGTGTTCGTGTGCGTGTGTCATTTAATGAAATTTATTTCAGTACGATTAATTCTCTGAACGTGTTCGAATGAATAGATGGACGGAATGTTTGGCTATATTATAAAATAATAATAATAATTATTATTTTATTATTATTATTAGTTTATGCGGTTATTTATTTGTTATAACAATCAAATGCCGATAAATAACATGAATAATTACAATAATATTAAAAATTTATTTCAGATTAAAAAAGATCATAACCAACGCATATTTATTTGACCTTTGAACCGACTTATTTGACCTCGACCTTGACACACGTAACCTTCAACCATCAGGAGTACTACTATGACGGTCATATATAAGCCAGTTGGCAAAGAGGTGATTGGTGGTGATGATGATAATGATGTTGGTGATGGTGATAATGCAATACTACTACTACTACTACTACTACTACTACTACTACTACTACTACTACTACTACTACTACTACTACTACAACTACTACTACCGTTACTACTACTACTATTTTAACTATTAACTATGTTAAGACTTGATGATGATGATGACGACGATGACAATGATGATGACAACTTTACTGTCTGCTAACAATAACGCTATCAATGTTTTTAATTACAAACAGGCTCCTGACAGCAAACAAATCAACCCACAACAACAACAACAAAGACAACAACAACAACAATTGGAGAACGGTGACGTCAGAGTTACGTCATCATCGTCATACAGGAAAGGGTTTTTGAGATGTCTGGCGGGATTGTTAGCTCCTGTGCTGATCTGTTTCGTCGTCGTCACCCTGCTATGCTTCGCATACATCGTCTCACAGAGATACAAATTGGTGGTTATTATTGTCATTATTATTGGTTGTTGTTACTATTATTGTTGTTGTTTGTTGTTGTTGTTTGTTGTTGTTGTTATTGTTGGTATTTGTTTTGTCATGTTTTACTTGGTGTAGTTATTCTATGAGGTCTTTTGGTTATTCTCGGACTCTACTGCTATAATAATTACAACACGATTAAACTCAATTTCCTGAAACTCAGACAACCAGGCGACACACTTCAAACACAAACAAACAAGAAACACACACACAAACAAACACATACAAACACACAGCCACAAACACACATACACATACAAACAAAAAGACAATCAAATAAACATTAATAATAACAAATTGACTACATTAACCTTAACGCAACTATACACGAATAAAAAAAGATACACACACACATCACACACACACACACACACGCACAAACCACACAAACAAACTCACACATAACCACTTGTGCATCATCATTATCATCATCATCAACATCATCGTCATCATCATTCATCTTATAATTATACCGTGAAATAATTAATTCAATGTTTAGATAGGCAAACATATTTGAAAAGCAAAACTTGCCACGATGCGTGTTGTGTTAACAACAGTTGATAAGTGGTTTGCATGAATAACGAATGATGATGATGA